AGGTGGGTTCACGGCCATGGCCTCGCAGTCCAGGAGCCTGAGCACGATGCTGGGGTCCAGGCTCAGGAAGGCATAGGTGCTGCGCACGGTGTCGAAGGAGCTGGCGATGGTGGCCAGGCACTGATCTGAGAATTCGGGGTGGTTGTGGGCCTCGGCCTGGGCCAGCCATGGCACGCAGGTGCGCTCGTTGAGGTGGTCGTCCAGGTAGGTGTCACACTGCTGCACCACAACGTCGACTTCCAGCTCCTTGGCGGCTGCGTAAGGATGGGAATACAGGTGTGTCAGTACCACATGCGACAGAAAGGAGAGACTGATGTACATTCTTTATGCAATTTACTAACATGGCCAGATCAGGCACAGGCTTGCACAGGGTCGCACAGGGTTGCACAAGCTCGCACAGGGCAGCAAGGGGCAAAAGGCCCATCCACACAGCAGTGTCCAAATACTGGTACAAACCCCAACCTGCAGATGTTATTGAGGTTGAGATGCAAATCTGTTCTGAAGCAAAGGCATTGCAGCAAGAAGTTGTTGCAGAAGGCTGGAGCCACAGTGGTCACGGCATTCAGGGCGCGCTTATGTCAGGCGCAAGCAGCAACAAAACAGCAGCGACAAAGAACTACAATGTTTGTTTCATTGTCCAACCTGCCCTTTGAGTCTCAAATGTGATGTGCAAATTTAGGATGACGCACAAGGGGCGGGTTCTGGGGGGCAAGGAGTGATTCTCTTGGGGGTGGGAAACGGGGTTCCTGGCATCTGTGACAACCACACGGACATATGCCCTGTGGCCCAAGAGTGCTCTAAAGTGGCCACGAACTTGTACAAGCACAGGTACAGTCCTGAGAACATGAAAGCCACAGCACATCCAGAACATGACAACCATGTCTGTGGCCCATGCAATGTGAAATCCTGCCTTGCATCCAACCAGTTGGCCAGGGAGCATGCCTTGTCACCACCTGCCAAGTACTTGCTATCCAAGTTGTGGTGCTATGACTTTGGAGGCATTCTCTGTGGATTCGTGCACAATGTGCGTGCATGCAAACACGCGAATACACATGGCATCAACCCATCACCAGCAGACTCTATGGAGCCCGCACAACTGGAACAACTTAATGGCACACCAAAGCTGCCAGGCATGACTCCACTTCTGTATGGTTAGCTGTGCGCACCCAGTGCGAACAGGCTGTGTGCAGCATTGAGGCACAAAAATGTGAAGCAAAATGACCATCATCGCCTTGGAACTGCACAGGCAGCATCGCCACGCCATGTAGTGTCATGCCATGGTCATGTTGTGTGACATGTCGTGCCCTGCTGTGACACGGCATGTCACATGGTGCCAAGACATGCAAAGTTATGCGGTGACACATGTTACCACAGCACATGCTTCTGTGCCTTGAGGAGTGGTGTACAAGGGGTACAAGTAGGAAAGCCCTAGATGTTCCCAGACATCTGTTTGCGGGTCCATGTGTGCAAGGGATGCAAGTCAAGGCAACACGTTCGACGTCGCCTAACACTGGTGGCTGGTCACCACATCCTGCCATAGAATCCAGAAAGGGCTGATCGGGGCTGGAGTGCCTTGCACTAGCAGTTTCCCAAGCTTAGACACCAGAATCTTTGGCAGACAATCCACCACGCACTGTGCAACTTGCTGGAAGTGCCCTCCACGTATTTTTTTGCCTGGGCACTGAACACGCAGCTGCGCAGCTGTTTAACCAAGGCTCTATACTGGCAGTCCGTTGGATGGCACAACCAGCAATCAACTTCCACATCTGCACCACCTCACAACTGCAACAAGATGGGAAAAGGATTTCCTGCCGATCAATCCACACAACAACTGCCAGCTGCTGCATTTGCATCCAGCACCTTCTGAGAATTCTTATTGCAGTGATTGGATCGCACATTCATTGCTCGGAAAGGGTCTCTGCACAGGATCTGTTTGTGGCTAGCACCCCCTGTAGTTCACAGGCAATGGCACATTGGCTCAACAGGTGTCTTGCCAAAGCAACACAAGCAACCCTCCCATTCCACCCACAATGGGGGACGCTAGGTGACCTGCCCTGGGCAGGGGAGAATGCACAAATCTGCAACTGCCCTTCATCAGGCTGAATGAGACAGTGGTGGGGACTGGTGTCTCAAAGTGCAGGAGCAGGCTGCACTCGTTGTGTCCCATTTCCATGGCGGGGAGATTAAGAACATATCCGCAGTGCTTGGTTTGCCCCAACTCGTTAATTCGCTCGTCTCCTCGCAACGCTTGCAAACGGGGCCCGAAGAAAGGGGAACGGCGCCAGGCTGCCAGCCCTTCCGCCTGCTCGCGGCCACCCTTGGTCACCATCGACAGAATGGGCGCACGCCGCCAGTCCTCCACCGAGCAGAGGGGACCCAAACATGCCCCCGCATCCTCGGTTTCGCCGATCATAGGCGCGAACCCCCGCGGCTTTGGGACCACTCCGCACGGCGCCACCCCCCCGGCGACAGCGCAAGTCCACTCCATCGAACGGAACAGCGCAAAACCCGCCTGAGAAGGCGCCCTTCCCACGCCTTTCCCCAAAGCCAAGTCCCCGAGTTGAACTCCTGGGCAAGTTTTCCGGACCGGATAATCTCTCATACGGTGAAGCGCCGAGCTCACCGCCCACCGCCGTTGGCCGCCAAAGTCGCGACCGCTTTCAAATCGCGCCCCCGGCCCGCCCCCCTCCCCCTCCTCCCTGCCCCCCTTCTGCAGGGGTGAGTGGCGCTGGCCGCGGCTCGTCTGCGGCGCGGACCAGGCCCTGTTTGGGCGGGGGTGATTTGTTACCAAAGAGAAACAGGGGTACCTAGGGGATCCCCTCCTGAGCAAGCGTGCCTGGGACTCTTTTCCATGCCATGAGAAGGCGATGCAGAATCTCCAGCGCAACAAGAGGGGCGCACAACACGTTAGGCCCGGAAGGAGCTGGGGACGAATGGTGGCCGCCTCCATTCTTTAGGTCAGCTCGATGCCCTCCAGAAACCTTCCCACGCGCTTTCATCGGCACCTGCAACGGGCACCTCGGCCCGGCATCCGATGCCGTGGGCCTCGGGAGCGGGGAGGCGCGCCGGGCGGCCCCGGGGTGGGGAGAGCGATTTGAATTGACATCGCCACGCGGCGGGATGAATTCCCTGAGGGCGGGTTCGAAGTGGGGATGGGGGGAACGGGCCCCCCGGGACCGGCGGGGGGCAAAGGAGATCGGATGCGGCGGCGCGGGAAAGGGGGGACCCGCCGCGAGGACAAGCGACGGACTGTCGTCGGATTCGACCTGGGCCGGGATCTCAAGCCATGGGGGTGGGGTGGGGGGGTGGGGGTGGGGTGGGGTGGCGCCGGCTCACCTTTTCGAATCGACCACACGCTGTCGTGCGACAGGGCCACCCGCGCACTGTAGAACGTCCGGAGCAGCGCCCGCAGGGGCGCCAGGTCATCGCAGCCCAGCGCCACCCAGCCCGGATGCCCGTCCCGGGCCGCCCGGTCGATCAGCCGCCGCATCACCGGGCTCCAGGCCGCCAGCGCCAGCCGGTGGCACCGGATGGACTCCACCGCCCGCCGCTCCGTGCCCTCTCCCCGCGCCCTCAGCATCACGGTCAGGTCGGCGAAGTCGCCCGCCTCCATGATCGCCTGGTACGCCGACCCCGCGTAGTCGCACAGGCACACTGTCCGGTCCGCCATGACCCCACACCGGGGGCGGGGTACCCGAAGCCCCCGCCCAGCCTGCGCTGCGCCGCGGGTGCGCCTCCACCGCTCGGACCTGGCCCAGAGCGGTGGCGCCTGGGACAAGGCGGGCCCCGTGCGGAGAATCCAAGGGGCTGGGGTGGGGTAGTCATCTGATGGCTGCCCGCCAGACGGGCGGGCGGCCCTGGGGGCATTAGTAAGGGCGCAGCGGGTGTGGCCACGAGTCGTCGGACCAATGCAGTAGTTTGGGGGGAGGCAGTGCTTTGGCGCAGTAGTTCGGGGCGCCCAAGGTTGGGACCCCTTGGACGCCAGGACGGGGTGGTGCGTGGGGCAGCGTGGCGGAAAGAGTGACTCCCAGCGGCCTTTGGATCGATACGGGCACGGGGAGGCGAGCCCGATACCAAGAAGGGGTCGTCAAGCGTCGCCCAGACCCAAAGCACGGCGGCGAGCAAAGGCTCTAAAGTACTGGGCGGCGAGGGCGCGCGGCAAGGCACTGATCCGCGCAGCTGTGGACTGATTGGAAGCCCGAAGCCCGCTGCGAGTAGGCGTTCAAAAAGGGGGATCGAGCGCGCCCGCTATCTCGGTGATGGCGACGCCGGCCCGGGAAGTGTGGCCGTATATTCAGTATTGATACTGCAGTGGTCATGCTGCAGTGATTGTTGCAGCGTTATGACGCTGCGGCGGCGGTGCTGCAGTAATGCTGCAGCGGCGACGCTGCGGGCGCGCTGCAGCGGACGGTGGCTGGCGCTGAACCGCCGTCGATAAGCTTTACTAAGCTGACAGAAGCTTGTCAACTGCGTTCCGGCCATTTCGCGAGCGGCGCGATATCCGGACGACGGCCCCGCCTCAGCCCGCGCGCCCCGTGCCCCTCTCACGGCGCTGAGTTCCGTCCGGCTTTTCCAATGCGCCCCCTTGCCTGACTGTCCACGTTGATGGATGATCAATCCATCAGACGCCGCCCAGTGGGGCCTGTCACACGTGCGTGTTGCAGGCCCCATTGTGGCAATACGGTTACTGCATCGTTGCAGCAACCGTACTGCCGCAGTGGTGTCTACCACACATGCGTGTGGTAGCGAGATATCTCACTCCAGAGAATCGGATCATGTACCTGCATGCTTTGAATGGAGCAGGTGAACGTTCAAGTCGGCGGGGGGTTGGATGGGTGGGCTGGTGCTGGAGTTGCGAACGTGCACCATATCAGTGGAAGGTGAGCCAGAATGTGACGCCAGCCGCTGTGCGTTGGACTGCGCACCCAGTGGGGTCCCCCACACCCTTGCCTGCTGGTTGCGTTGGGATACCAACACAGAAATGCAATTCCATGAGAGCTGGAGACGTGCTTGAAAGGCCCGTCGTCTAGCGACATATACAACTGAAGGCGGCACTTTTCAGCGACCCGTGAGTGGAAGTCCACGAACAGTGCCTAGCGTCATGCCGCTCACGGCGAAGCCCACGTCTCGCTACTTTTGCCGGTGCTCAGCGGGAACTCGCAGCTGTCAAAGTCTTTGAGCAGACATATCTGAACTTCACAATAACAGCAGAAATCACATAAGTCGTCACTCCCGTTATATCTCCAGCAGCGATTGATCAAACCGTATTGCAAATGCATTCTAAGTTTTGAAAATGTGTCGATACATGCGTGTTCTGAACAACTGCGCGAATCAATCGTGCACCGTGCGGGGCATCCCACCAGCTAGCAGAAGCGGTACTCTGGAGATGCCAACGGCGACGCCAATTGACAAAACGAGGCCCCATCACAGTGGGTGCGATGGCACAAAATAAGCTGCGATGGCATCAATTAGTGTCAAATGGCGTCGCAGTTGGCATCGCAACATCGTCGTGTTCTACCTGTGATGCGCACGGCCGTTCTGATCCTGATTCCGCCGTAGGACTGCGCAAAAGGCGCGCGTCTTGTGTTCTGTTCGTTCTCCGCGGTATAGGAGATCTTTCTGCGACGTCAGTACTATACAGCATTGAATCGTATACCGCTTTTCCTCAAACAGTCCAGTTCAAATTCCTCAGCAGTTCCTCAAATAGTTCAAATTGAACAGCAGGGTCTGCTGTTGTTGGAACCATGTGCGGTCGCAGAGCAAAGCGACGCTGGGGAGCGTTTACCGCCATACAATTGCCGTGCAGCGCAGCACAGCACGGAGGTCGACGCAGCGGCGCCAGAGGCGGGGTGGGACGCTGCCCGCTTTCCTCGTTGAGAATATATCAGCCCCTCTGTCTTTTCCGCGAGGATCCCTCCTTCTTCCGCTGACAAGGCCCACGTGGGTCACTGGGCCAGTGGTTTAGGGGTGAGGGTGTCGAAACAACAATGGACGTTCGCGGAAAAGACAGAGTGACTAATCTCATGGCTTCCTTGTTCGCGATCATCCCTCACCGGCGGTACAACGGTACATGATGCGGCGAGGACTCCTCACGGCATGGAATACCCAGGTCAATATTGACCTGCGCGGATGTACGCTAGCTCACGTCGCGCCGCAGCGGCCGGCTGCCCTCCCATCGCATCCTTTTTTCCGTCGGTTCGTCGAGTGCTGGACGAACGGACGGACATGGGGGCGCCCAAGCCCCTCGATCGCAGATCGCGATGTACCGCCCGCCCGGCATCACGCTGATGACTACTGACGAAGTGTCGTTATCCGGCGCTGTACAACCTGCGACCACAAACGGATGGGCAGAAGAACCCCAACATGACAGATCCTTTGCCATACGGTCGTCCGGCGGGGGGTCCCCCTCCGTCGCCCTGCCCTTTGGGCCCCGGCCTGCCGCCCGCCGACCACGGCGCCCGCGGACTGAAGCTCCCCAGCTGCGGTTGCGCTCGCTGGGCGACGAGGATCCGGACCTCCTTCCATTCATCCGAGTCGGCAAACAGGTGCAGGCCGCCCCAGAACAGGCGCAGATCACCCCCTCTCCGTCTCTCTCGTCTCTATCTGTTCCAAGACGGTTCCGAGGGACCCTCCGCGCCCCTGCGCCCGTGGAGCGAGGAGGTCATGTTTTCCACAGCCCATTTTCGAGCAGCGCTGCCAGCTGTGGGAACCATCCTGAGAGCCATCCGTGCCGTCCGTGGTGGCGGTACTGTCGGGCGGCGACTTGTCGATCCTGATCGCCGCGCCAGCCCCCGCGCATGCTCCAGCGCCTTTGAAGATTCTGTCCCCGGAAAGTGACACCCCTGGAGCGGGGAACCGTGACGGCGGCGTGTGCGGCGCGGCACCTCGTCATCTTGCGGTCGCGGACCGGAAAGTACTCTGAAATTCTTCCGTCGATGACGGTTGTTGGGCGCGGGCGCCTTTTCTCGCTGCCAGGGAGCGTTCCGGTTTATGTGGGGGCGTATCCGAGGCCTGGCGCTACCCTGAGAGGCGGCGCGGCACGCCATGAATCCCCAGCTGAAAAGTGTAAACCACCCACCCCACCCCCTGTTGTGAGGCCACAGGCGCTAGCCGAGATCCCTCGCCGGAGGATCCATCTAGATGGAGGCCGAGATCTCCGCCTCTGTGTCTCCGCTTTTGTTCATCAGCCCCAGCGTCAGCGGCAGAGAAGTGCTGCTCTGGCCGAACTTCAAAAACGCGCCCAACCGGCAACTCTGCCCGCGAAAGGCAGCAGTGCTGCGACCGCTCGCTCGCTGCTGATACGGGTGATACGCGTGCGCGGGGCCGCCCGGGGCCGCGGTCGATAGCGCTAGCTCTCGGCTCGGGATCCGACCCTTCCGTTCCTGATGTGCGTTCCCCCAGCTCAAGAACAGTGACAGGTGCTCCGTTCGCAGCGACGGATGCTGGTGCACAGCGAGCAAAATTGTGACCCCATCACGTTGGGCGCACTGTCGACCTCCCTTTTACCTCCTGCGCGTCAAGTCGCTGGAGGTCGCGAGGGCCGCCCGTGCTATATCGATGGGCTCCATCGATCTCTGGGACTTGAAAAGCGGCCCCAATAGCCACCTTTGATCACCGGCCCCTTCCCATTCCGCCGTTCACTCCCTGCTCCTCGAACGCTTTTCTTCCTTGTGATTCGGTCGGGAAGAAGCCCCGAGCGAAGTCGCTGCCGGTCCAGCCGAAGTGTCGCCCGGAGGGTGCCTGGAGGGCCACACTGAGCGCAGTCCCGATGTAGGTCGGTGCGCGGGATGCGCCAACCCACGCTCACGGCCGTCTTGTAATTAGCTGGTCATGTGCTCATGAGTGCATGCGCAACATGCACCTTGTGCGCACATGTGGGTCAACGTGGCGGCCTCAACCCACTGCATGTAGTCAGCTGGCTCGTGCAGTAAGCAATGCGTCTTGTCCTGGGACGCAGGTGGACGTCAATATGAAAGGGTGGGTATCACACTGGGGGATGCAGCGGTGGACGGCGTGGAAGATGCCGAGGGCGCACCCGCTCTCCCGGGCACGAACGCGAACCTTTCAGCAGGCCAAGTTGCCGTGATCGGTGAGAACACATCATTGCCTTTGTCTTCTCGGCGAAATCCCTGTCCTTTCAGAAGCTTGACTTTGGTGTGGGGGTGGGGTGGGGGGTGGGGGGGAAGAGGAGGTACACTCACAGCACAAGAAGACAGAGCAATTGGAGGTTGTAATCTGCAGCAACCACGGATGAACGTGACGGGATGGCGTGGCAAGACCCCGGATGGGCAAAGCTTCGCTTGGCACAAGCACGCCCTGTTCAATCTCGCGAACTGCATTCGACTCAAGAGTTTGCCAGTTGCACTTGTTGTCAGAATAGCGCTGCGAAGCCTCTCGATTGGGCACATTAAAACAAACAAACCACTGTAGTTCGCTTTGATTTGTGATTCGCAATTTCGAGTACCGAAATTCAATTCCTTATGCATGAGCATTGATTTAGATTCCAACATTTCTCGATGCTTTACAGCTCCTTGGGATTGAGTTTGATGGCACAAGGTCGCCATCTCTTTTTACTTTGAGGGGTTGGCTGCTGAGATCGCAAGTATGATGCAATATTTGGAAAACGAAGGTGACAAATCAGAGCACAGCCATTCCAACCTGCCAATATTC